TCTTACAGTTTTTTTTTTCCTCTCTCTCTCTCTCTCTGCTGGGTTTGTGTTCCGTGTTCACAAAAAATGAGGAGCAGGGACACAGCAGGGCGTGTGAAGCGGAGTGACTTATGTAAGAAAACAAAAGTCACAGAGAAAAAATCAACAGCACCGAGAGCGATGCCAGAAGAGAGCAAAAGTGAGACTCCCAGCAGCACCCAGGGGGCGGGGAGGGAACCGTGGTAAGGGCTGACTTCCGGGTGTTGCAGGCTGCAAAGGGGGGGCGTTCTCGTGACTGGTCTGGGAAAGGGATGGTTTCCGTAGGTTAACTGGATGCTCGTTCCAATCGAGACTAAACAGCAAACACATGGAACTTCTCCCAGGACGCGCAGAACTCTCCTTATGTACATCAGTCACGGCCGCACCGAAAATCCCTGATTACCAGGCCCCTGACAACACCAACCCTCCCGGAGGCCAGGGGCTTGAATCTTCCTATCTCCAGGTAGTGGGGAGGGGTCCCCTGCTCCTGTAGGCCTAGCCAGGAGTCTCTACCACCACCCTCTGCTGCCTTCCCAGGCGCACTAGCAGGGAGCTGGGTTGGAAGCAGAGCAGCCAGGACTTGACCCAGATCTCTGATATGGGGTACAGGCATCACAAGCAGCTACTTAACCCGCAGTGCCACGACACCAGCCCCTCAGCCAACATCTAGAGCACCTGCCGGTCCCCCAGGGGCCAGCACCAGCCATCTCGTGGGCATTCCTTCAGCCAAGCTGCCCCCAGCCCTGCACCGCTGCCCCTCCTTCCTCGCCAAGGGCCCTGCTTTGGGGGCCACTCTGCTGGGGCTCTGTCCAGCCCCATCTCTGCCTGCTGAGTGGTGAGCCGAGGGAGACCCTCTGCCTGATGCAGAGACCCCTTTGTAAAACTTGCACAACTCGGAGGCTAGCAGCTGCTTCCGTCGGCACCTGCCAAAGTTTCCCCATCCCTGGCTCCCTCCCAGGAGAAGAGGCGGACTTCCCTGAGGGGAGGGGCTCAGGCCTGGGGACACGTCTGTCCTGCCGTGTGCCTGAGGCAGGCCTGCACCGGATGCTGGAGTCAGGACTTCCCACCCTCCCCTCCTGCTGCCTGCCGTCTGAACCCCTCCCCCGAGGAGGACAGTCCCTCCCCCGAGAGCAGGGTTGATTCTGGGAGCAGAGGTGAGGAGGGAATCGGAGATCGAGGGCAGGAGAGGGGAAGAGAAAGTTCACCTGCTGCGCAAGCCTCAGTTTTCCGGCACTGTCCTGGAGGCGTGGCCAAGCTCTGGGCGGTGTCTCCCATCAGCACTTCCTAAAGGCTAGAGTGGATGAAGGAGCCGGAGGCTCTCAGCCCCAGATGGGCCAGGAGGCTCTGCTCGACCCCACAAAGCCCTTTACAGCTCTCGGGGCTGGGATTGGGCAGCCGAGGTTGGGGGGTTGTGGGGCAGGCAGCGCAAGGGCAGTGGCTCTTCAGTCGGCTTAGGGATCCGCAGTGGCCGGGAGCTGACCAGGCACAGAGCTACAAGAGGTCACAGCTTCAGCCTCAGAACGTCACGCTCTTTCTCCTTCTGCGTCAGGGCTGTGGTCACTGGTGGGTCCCAGGGGAGTGTCACCTGGCCCGGCCCAGTGGGGCTTCTGGGGTCCCAGGGGAGTTAGAAACATACATTGCAGGGTGCGGGCGCTGTGGCGAAGTGGGTTAAGTGCCACCTGCAGTGCTGGCATCCCGTATGGACACAGGTTTGAGTCTCGGCTGCTCCACTTCCGATCTAGCTCTCTGCTGTGGCCTGGGAGAGCAGTAGAAGATGGCCCAAGTCCTTGGGCCCCTGCACCCGCGTGGGAGACCCAGAAGAAGCTCCTGGCTTCCGGCTTCAGATTGGCGCAGCTATGGCTGTTGCAGCGAATTGGGGAGTGAACCAGCAGATGGAAGACCTCTCTCTGTCTGTCTGTCTAACTCAAAGTAAATAAAGTTAATCTTTAACAAAGAAGAAGAAGAAATGTACACTTTAGGCCTTGAGCCCAGAGATGCCAACATCCGGGGTCCCCAGCAAGGGGTCCAGGAATCTGCATTTGAACCCAAAGCCCCAGATGTTGCCAGAGCCAGGGCGCTCAAAGCCTGCACCGTCAGCCTCTTTCTGGGAACTGTGAGATGTGCGGGGGGCTGGGGGAGGCAGGGCAGGGTGGCCAGGGCCCTGCCTCCGTCTCTCCCGGCCAAGGCATTTGGGGGAGAAGGATGGACGCCCCGGGGGCAAAGCCCACGGACTGGGGGTTGGGGGGTTCAGAGCTGGCCGTCCTCTGCCTTTTGCACTTGACATGGAGCAGCTGTCTCCTGGCCACCGCTTCCCCTCCTACAGCCGCAGGCCAGGCCAGGAAGTGACCCAAAGCCCCTCAGAGCTGTCTCCGGGGCTGGACTCGAAGGACAGGCTCCCAGACGAGGTGTGCTTGGGCCAGGCCTCGGAATGCACGGGCCAGCATGGAGGGACGGCAGGGGGCCAGGGCTCCGGCTCCCTGAGCCCAGCTTTTCTCCGTCAGCCACGCTGGCTGTCCTTATGCCTCACGGCAGTGGAATTCCTGGGGAGGTCGGAGAATGGAGCTTGCTGGGGGCTGCAGAGGCAGAGTGGGGGCTGATGCTTAAAGCGGGACAGAGCTGCGGTCTGGGAGGACAAAGGCCTGGGGCTGGACGGTGTCCGGCCTGCGTTACCGACCGCAGCCCAAGTGTGTGCTGAGAACGGTTAAAACGGCCAGCTCCGCTCTGTGTCCTGGATCAGCGCTGTGAGACGGTGGCAGGGAGAGGCAGCAGCAACAGCGGCAGCCGTGGCCCCGTCTGTCCTAGCCAGGGCTGTACTGGGTTTGGTAGTCCCAGCACTGGGGGTGTGCAGCCGCTGCGGCTCCCGCAGCGTTTCAGAGGAGAGACACACGGGTCTCCAGCTCGGTACAGTGGCGGGGGTGGTGGTGGGGAGGTGCTGGCCAGCGACGAGGACGTAGGAGCACTTCCGGAAGTCTGCGGTGGGGGGGGGGGGGATGGAGTTCAAAGACAGCTTTATTTTGGTGCAAAAACGTTTTGAAATAAAAGTCCCTGGAAATGCATATTATGCAAAGACTGCACAGATTTCAAAATGTGCAGCTAAATAAGCTTATCTTTTGCCGGCGCCGTGGCTCACTAGGCTAATCCTCCGCCTAGCAGCGCCGGCACCCCGGGTTCTAGTCCCGGTCAGGGCGCCGGATTCTGTCCCGGTTGCCCCTCTTCCAGGCCAGCTCTCTGCTGTGGCCAGGGAGTGCAGTGGAGGATGGCCCAAGTGCTTGGGCCCTGCACCCTATGGGAGACCAGGAAAAGCACCTGGCTCCTGGCTCCTGGCTCCTGCCATCGGAATCAATGCGGTGCCGGCGCAGCGCCCCGGCGCGGCGACATGAGGGTGAACACAGCAAAGGAAGGACCTCTCTCGTCTCTCTCTCTCCACGGGTCAAGCAGTGAAAGATGGCCCAAGTACTTAGCGCTTGCTTATCTTTTAATTCCTTAAAAAAAAAAAAAAAGTCCCCTGGTGTGTGGCGTTCTCACACAGCTGAGCGCACCGCGCAGCCCCAACCCTGAGGGTCCCAGCGCCGACTCCATCAGGGACGGCCTGCGTGACTGTGGGCGTCCTCCTTAGCCTGTCCGTACAACGAGAACCACGTGGGAGGCGGCCAGCCCGGCTCCGGACACCTGCTGGTGCCTGCTGATGGCAGTTGGGTTTTTATATAAATAGTCAGAAAATTTGAATCCTCTGACTCACCTCTTGGGCAGGAGGGGAGACTGAGGCCTGGACGGGGGATCTGACTTGCCCAAGGCCACACAGCCAGCCCGTTCCTGGGCTGTGACCTCAGGGTAGCAGGGCCCCACCCAGATCCTCGTGCACTTCCAGGATCCATCTACCCAGAGCCTGGGAAAGCATGAAGGAGTGGTACCAGCTGCCCCCACTTCCTGCGTCCCCAGCATCCCGTCTCACTGCCCGGATGGGGAGGGGGCAGTGTCACCCACTGGGCCCTTTTGGCAGCATGGGGCGTGGGGGACTGTGGGCTTCCTGCACCTGCGAGAGCTCACAGGGCCGCTGCCCAGCGCAGCCGCGGGCGGGGAGTGCCATCAAGTGGGAACTCAAGGGAGGGCGCCAGGCACGTGTGCCAGGGTCCTGGGAGCAGTGTGGCAGGGTCTTCTATGGAGAGAGCTGTGCTGTGTGTGGGAGGCAGCGGCCCCCAGGAACGGCCCCTTCCCCCAGGCTCTCGTTCCCTCATCTGCAGAGCACCGCCACCCTTCGTGTCCGCTGGAAGAAACCAGACGTGTCTCCTGGGCCTTCCCCAGGTGGAGGGCAGGGCAGGAAACTGCCACCAGACACGGAAAAGTGCTGTGGGAGGTGGCGTGCGGAGGACCTTGGGGACAGTGAGGAAGGAGGCAGCCCCGGAGCCTGGGGTGGGAGGAGCTTCATGGAGGTGACCTTTGAGCCAAGGAGACCAGGGGATAAGAGAGGAAGAGGAAGGAGTCCAGTGGGCAGCACACAGGCCGCACTGCGTCACAAGCAAAGCTGCAGGGCTAGGAGGTGGGGTTGCTTTCCTGCCCACAGAGAGGTTGAGGAGGTAGGGGATTAAGGCTGGTGGACGGGTGTGGGGCCAGGGGATTCCCACAGCCCTACATCCACCCACGGGTCTCTGGGCAGAGGGCACTATAGGTAAGAGCCTGAGCCACGAACAGACACAGACCAGAGGGGTACACAGCACCTCTGCTCCCCGTCACTGTCCAGAGCTGGCCAGGAGGACTGGCAGGTGCAGCCCGAAGCTGCAGGGTGCAGAGGGTTTCCAGGGTGCCCGGGGGTGGGGGTGGCACAAGGACAAGAGACAGAGGCGCCACCCCCCACAGGTGGGGAGGGCTTGTCAGCTGCAGGGTGCACAGGGGCGGAGCTCTGGACCCTGAGCTCCGGAAGCTTCTCGCTGGGGGTGGGGGTGGGGAGCTGGAGACCCCTGACTTCCCCCTCCCTCCCCTCGCAGACCGTTCTGCGGATCGTGGTGCTCGGCATCTGGGATTACATCGAGAACAAAATCGAGGTAACACGGGAGCTACCCCCAGCCCTCCCAGCCCAGACATCCCATCCGTTCCAGGGTGAGGGTCATCAAAAAAAAATTCACTTGACCGTGGGAGTCTCGCTGAGCCCAGAGCAGAGGCTGGGGGCAGAGGGAGGAGCAGGACAGTCTAAGGACAACTGCTCTTGCGAGTCCTCGATGTTGCAACTTGCTTTTGAATCACCCTGAAGGGCTCTGCAATGCATTTTAGAACAAAAGAAATTCTAAACATGGCCCAGCTGCTCAGGCTGGGCTCCCCTCTGGGAAAGGCCGAGCACAAGTGTGCCCAGGAGCGCACCCGGGGGTGGGGGAGGGGGAGCCAGGAGTCCCCACAAGCCTGAGGGGGGTTGGGAGAAGCAGCAGGGATGGGGTGGCCTCGTGATGGCCCCTGAGCGGTCGGCCACGCCAGCCGGCCTGCCTGCCTGCCTGCCTCACGGGTCCTGGGTTCCAGGCCCATGGCACAGTCCAGGGTGTTGAGTTCCTCCTCCCCTCCCCGACAGGTGTTTGACGGGGCTGTGATCATCTTGTCCTTGGCCCCGATGGTGGCATCCACCGTCGCCAACGGGCCCAGGAGCCCCTGGGACGCCATCAGCCTCATCATCGTGCTCCGGGTGTGGCGGGTGAAGCGGGTCATAGATGGTGAGTGCCCGGGGCCTTGGGGGCCGGACAGGGGGCGGGGCCGAGGCTGTCCCCCACCCCAACCCTCAGCTCCCTCTCAGATCCTCAGTCCGCTGGTTCACTCCCCAAATGGCTGTAGCAGCCCGGGGTTGTGGGCATAGTTATAGACAGGATTGCCTGGCTGCGCAAGCTGCCTCTTGTAATGCCCACACCCCATACCAGAGTGTTGGCTGAATCCTGGCTGCTCTGCTCTGATCCAGCTCGCTACTAAGGTGCCTGGGAAGCAGCAGATGATGGCTCAAGTACTCGGGTCCCTGCCACCCACATGGGAAGTCTGGATGGAGGTGGCTCCTGGCTTCAGCCTGGTGCTCTCTCTCTCCCTCCCTCTCTCACTCTGCCTTTCAAATAAATAAACAAATCTTAAAAGCAAATAGTATCATGGGTACCAGAGTAATGCTGACTTAAACAAAACAGAAGCTCTTTGCACTCTGGTGCTGCTGTGGCCTTCATGGCGAAGTCTTTGTGGGGACAGGTGTTTTCCATTCTCTTAGTTCTAGGAGTGGATCCCTGGGCCACACAGTCACTCTTTGTTTAACATTTGGAAGAAACACCAAGCTGTTTTCCATAGGGGCTACACCAACCGTCCCTGCATCCTGAGAGAGACAGAGACAGACAGACAAGCAGACAGAAACTCCCATCCACTGGTTCCCTCCCAAATGCCCACAGCAGCTGTGGCTGGGCTGGGCTGGGCTGGGCTGGGCTGAGGCCAGGAACTCAGCCTGGGTCGCCCGCGTGGGCAGCAGGAACCCAAGGACTTGAGCCATCACCTGCTGCCTCCCAGGGTACACATGGGCAGGAAGCTGCCATCAGGAGCCGGCTTTGGGCATGGAGCCCGGGACTCTGATTTGAGACAGGGATGTCTTAACCACTAGGCTAATTGCCTGCCTTCTCAGGAAGCTGCTGCCCACCCCCAAACTGTGGTCTTACGCCCATGCATAGCTGGAAATGGTCAGCATTGCAGGCACCTCTGCACACCGCCAAAATGGGGGGCACCGTCCCTGTGGACAAGGAGGAAGCCTGCAGTGCTGGGCACGGGGCTAAGGCTGTGACTCCCTGAGCGTTTCGGGGTGCTGCCCACTGCCTGGACATTTCCTCCCCGATCTGCCAGGCCAGCCCCTCCCCCACGCGAGCCCTGCCACTGCCGAGTTGCTAACTGTCCGCTCTCTTCCAGCCTACGTGCTGCCGGTGAAGGTGGAGATGGAGATGGTCATCCAGCAGTACGAGAAGGCCAAGGTCATCCAGGACGAGCAGCTGGAGAGACTGACGCAGATCTGTCAGGAGCAAGGGGTAAGGCGCCGCCACTCACTGCTGTCCAGGGCCTAAAGCCAGGAGACGGCAGCGTCAGGGTGCTCCTCCTGGTCCCCAGGGAACCTGAGGCCCAGCGCGGGGACCACAACTCCAAGGCCACTGGTGCTCAGTGGCCCTACGGCTCCCCAGCCTGGAGCTGCCCAGTCGCCAGCCGACTTGTCACCTTCGCAGAGACCCGGTCTCTAAAGCTGGGCATCGGTTCTGCCCCCTGAGGCCCCACGGTGTGCCCGTTGCTTAATGAGGTCTCGGACGGCCTCTGTCCTCAAGGACAGTGGTGGGCCCCAGAGGACCTGCCCAGGGCAGTGGCAGCAGGGGTTGGGGGGCGGTCCTTGGTTTCTGGGGGAAGGACAGGGCTACTCCGCTTGCCCCGTGAGCCTGGGAAGCTACGCCCGCAGCCACGTGTCCTATGGGGGCCTGAGGCATGGGGCTTGCAGCACAGCAGAGCCGGCCGCCCCTGGGCACCCCTCTCCCCACTGCCAGGAGCTCTTCAGGGGGTCACAAGGCTGAGCAGTTGTGTGCCTGCCTGTCTTGTCAAGTTCCTGGCTCGTTTGTCTTGTGCATAAACACTCAGCCAGCCAAATCATCACTTACACCCTGGCCGAGACATGGCCCTGTACTCACCGGGCTCTGAGTGGCTCAGGGAGTGGGGTGGGCACATGTCAGGGCGGTGGCACCTGGTGAGAAGCGTGCTGCACAGGGGACATGCCAGGGGCTCTGCATGCCAGCGTGGGACGGGGCGGCAGGGGAGCTGACCGTGACTGAGTGTGGCACAGTATGCGTGCTGTGTGGAGGACCCCGAGGCCACTCTGAGTGTTAGCGGGGGGTGGCGGTGGGAGGACCGGCGGCCTCCAGTGCTGGGGCTGCCCAGATTGGAGCTTCTTGGAGCTTTCTGGCTGCCGTTGGAAGACAGGGCGGGGTCTGGGTGGAGGCGGGAGGTTGGAGTCTGCAGTAACCACAGGCGTGAAGGGAGCCCAGGGCGAGGACAGAGCAGGGGGCAGGGGGTGTCTTCCCAGGCCGGAAACATCATGAGTTACCCCAGCATTTACCTTTGATTAAGAAATGCTGGACAATAGAGGATCCCAGAGCACACCACGGGTAGCATCCCCTGAAATGCCACAGCCCCCCTCTTGCAGCAGAGAAGAATTGTCCTGCTGCACGCCCCCATCAGCAGTCCATGGGCCACGTGGCCGGAAGAAAATCCCGGGGCAAGGCCCCTCCCGCAGTTTCCTCCTCGACCCTAGTCCTGGGCCCAACCCCTCCCCGGGACCCCAGGTTCCTGCTGTCCTGGTTCGGTCACTCCCCAGCTATGGTCTCCTCCCCAGGGGGCAGGGGTCTCCCACAGACTCCGCACAGGAAGGAGCCAATAAAGACAGAACCCCCAGGGGCTCACATCTGGAAAAGAGATGAGCAGAGGCAAGCCAGTTTAATTTGAAAACACTGGAACCTGTTGTCTTTGTTAGGACAGTGGAGAGTGACAGACGGGCTGGATCCCAGTGGGGCTGTGGCCGGGGCTGGGAAGGTTGCCTGACCAGAGCACGGGGCTTCCGGGGGTCGCCAGCGAGGCTGCTCCCCAGGGCAAGGCGGAGACATCGCATCTTCGGCTGCACTTTGAGACCTAACTGGGCGGCCAGCACCCTAGAGATGAGACTGTCAGCCCAGGAATGTCACGCCTGGCCTTAGAGGGAGCAGCGGGTGGAAGGGCTAAGAAGAGACTTTGAAGGCAGACCTGGGTTCCAAGCCTACTCGGCCCCTTCCTGGCCTGTGGCTTTGGGCACGGATGAGACCCCCCTAAGGGCCTTGTTTCCCAAAACTGGAAAATGGGAATATTCATAAAGTCCTTCAAGGATGGCTCTGAGGCTGCTTAGCCTAAAGCTCTGCGTGTGACAAACTCCTGGGAGCCTCACCTGCCCTGCACACCTGTTCCAGGAAGAAGAGAACTCGAAGTGAGGGCTGTGAGGACGCACTAAAGCACACAGAAGTAGATCCAGGTGTTGTACCTGTGAGATCAGGTTGTACCTGTGAGATCCAGGTGTGTTTGTGAGATCCAGATATTGTACCCATGAGATCCAGGTGTTGTACCTGTGAGATCCAGGTGTTGTGAGATCCAGATATTGTACCTGTGAGATCTGGGTGTGTTCGTGAGATCCAGGTGCTGTACCTGTGAGATCCAGGTTGTACCTGTGAGATCCAGGTGTTGTACCCGTGAGATCCAGGTTGTACCTGTGAGATCCAGATATTGTACCTGTGAGATCCAGATATTGTACCTATGAGATCCAGGTGTTGTACCTGTGAGATCCAGGTGTTGTACCTGTGAGATCCAGGTGTTGTGAGATCCAGATATTGTACCTGTGAGATTCAGGTTTTGTACCTGTGAGATCCAGGTGTTGTACTTGTGACATCCAGGTGTGTTTGTGAGATCCAGGTGTTGTACCGTGAGATCCAGATGTGTTTGTGAGATCCAGATGTTGTACCTGTGAGATCCAGGTGTTGTACCCGTGAGATCCAGGTGTTTTACCTGTGAGATCCAGGTGTGTTTGTGAAATCCAGATGTTGTACCTATGAGATTCAGGTGTTGTACCCGTGAGATCCAGATGTTGTACCTGTGAGATCCAGGTGCTGTACCTGTGAGATCCGGGTGTTGTACCTGTGAGATCCAGGTGCTGTACCCGTGAGAGCCAGGTGCTGTACCCGTGAGATCCAGGTGTTGTACCTGTGAGATCTGGGTGTGTTTGTGAGATCCAGGTGCTGTACCTGTGAGATCCAGGTGTTGTACCGTGAGATCCAGGTATTGTACCTGTGAGATCCAGGTATTGTACCTGTGAGATCCAGGTGTTGTACCCGTGAGATCCAGGTGCTGTACCCGTGAGATCCAGGTGCTGTACCTGTGAGATCCAGGTGCTGTACCCGTGAGATCCAGGTGCTGTACCTGTGAGATCCAGGTGTTGTACCGTGAGATCCAGGTGTTGTATCTGTGAGATCCAGATGTTGTACCTGTGAGATCCAGGTGTTGTACCTGTGAGATCCAGGTGCTGTACCTGTGAGATCCAGGTGTTGTACCTGTGAGATCCAGGTGTTGTACCTGTGAGATCCAGGTGTTGTACCATGAGATCCAGGTGTTGTACCTGTGAGATCCAGGTGTTGTACCTGTGAGATCCAGGTGCTGTACCTGTGAGATCCAGGTGTTGTGCTCATGAGATGCAGTTGTTGGAGTGATGAGCCAGAGGTGGGAATTGGACCCTGGGATTGCCCACCCTGGCTTTGGTGGCTCTGAGGAGCGCTGGTCAGGTGCAGGGTTTCGGGTTCCAGGCGGGAAGACCACAGCGGCGGGGTGCGTTCCATGCCCGTGGAGTCACATCCGGCTCCTCCCTGTCAGTACTCACAGGGAGAGTACCTGCTGTTTGTCAGGGCTTGCCATCACTTTAAAGTCACTTTTGTTTACATCTTAGCTTTTCCACAAGATTAACCTGCTCCTCGCTGTGACCCTGCAGAGAGTTCTGGGTGCCATGGCATGCCAGCCTGGCATGAACACCTGGTCCATTCCATCCCCTGTACTGTGGGCAGCCTGTGACCACGCCCACCGTGCCTCAGCCCCTGGGGTCCAGAGATGGGCAGAGGTGGGCCCAGTGTTGCACAGCACTTCAGCCTCCGTCCACCCCAGTGCTCGGACAGGGCAACGAGATTTCCTGCTTCCTTCACCCCCAGCGTCTCTCCTGAGCACTGGCACACCCCAGCCTTACCCCACTCCCTCCTGGAAAGGGGAGGAAGCCTTGGAGAGTCAGTCTTCCGTCCCCTGCGCCTCCGGCCAGCCTGCCCCCTGCTGTGTCGCGAGTCCATTGTTTCTGTCCCCAGCCTTTCAGCTGGAGGGTCCTTTCCCGGATTATTTTGTTCTCTGCCTGGATCTTGGCCAGAGCGTCCCAGAGCTCATGGGACCGGCCACAGCTGGGTTCCAGAAGCGGGATGGGCGTCGCTGGCCTTCCGGGAGGGACGGTGGGGACTTTCCATCTCTTCCACTGTGCTGCCAGCCTCGGAAACCAAAGCTCTGACACCGCCCGCAGAGCCGGGTGCTCTGCCTTCTGAGGGTGGCTGCACCCCCGTGCCCAGGCTCTTACTCTGATTCCGAAGCGTCCTCCAAGTCCTTCAAGCTTTGCACAAGTTTTTGGCACAAAACAGTGAGAGCCGACCAGGCACACGTGGGCGCTTATTTCTCTTCTCTGATGGGCATTTCTCAGTCCTGTCCACCCAGAGACCGGTGGCAAAACACTGAGGGCCATGGGGTCCAGCCAGGGCGATGGGAGCCTGGGAGGCCAGCAGAACCTGCGACGGCCTGGGCTGTGAGTGCAGGCAGCGTGGAGGGGCAGAGACAGTCCTTGCACAGGGCAAGGCCAGCAGGGTCCACCCCCAGCTTCCCCAGCGACCCCTTGGCTCCTTAATCCCTGGCTGTCAACCCTGCATTTGGACAAATGGAGATAACGAGGATCAAGTTAAGTAACATCAGTAAGGTCTGGCAGGGGCCGGCGTTGTGGCACAGTGGGTTAAACCTCTGCCTGTGACGTCACTGTCCCACATAGGCACTGGTTCATGTCCCGATTGTTCTACTTCCAATCCAGCTCCCTGGCTGCAACAGCAGGGTTGGGCCAGGCCAAAGCCAGGAGCCAGAAACACCATCCAGGTCTCCCATGTAGGTGCAGGGGCCCAGGGACTTGGGCCATCTTCTGCAGCCTTCCCAGGTGCATTAGCAGGGAGCTGCGTCACTGCCCCGTGCAGGCTACAGGGAGCGGGACGTGTCCCCCACACCCCCTTGGCCTCCTGGCCCCTGCTGGGCTGTGGCGCCTTCCTCCTCTGAGCCCTGTCCACTCAGTGGCCAAGCAAGGAGCATGAAGCATGGGACTCAGCAGGTTTTCATTGGCCAGGCCTGCAAGTGGTGACATTACTCCCGCCCCCAGTGAGTGGGCAGGACGCAGTGACAGCAGATGCTGTCA